CATTTTTTAACATACACTTACACTTAATTCTAAATCAATATAATACACATTTTTGCATATGTCTGTAAGATTTAATATTGCCCAATTTAATATCGCTTTTGAAAAAATAAACAATGTGAAAGACATTTATAATTTCACGATAAGTTGATATTTTTTGTGCCTACAGAGATGAAATTAAATTTAAATTATACAAATTAAAACTGCTCAATACTTATAATCCATTATCAAACAGTTAAATCGATGTCGAATCTTTATCAAATCAAATCAGATTCACTAATAGAAGGGAAGGCAGGTGGTTGTTTGCTCTTTAACTTTAGTTCTGATTCGGCTTAGTGAGGGCGAGAGCGTGATAGCCGCTTATTGCATTTTGGGGTAGCACTATATTATTTGTGCGGGGTTAAATATTCTTGATTTATTGTTCTGGCTAGTAAATTGGATATTGTAGACTATTAGGTTTTGGCCGCATGTTTATTGCCGAATCAAATCCTTTGAATATGCATATTACACTATGTATCAACAACAGGGATGTACGAGTATTCGTATGAATGCTCTATTGCCATGTACATATTCTTCATCTCCAGTTTTTATTCGATACCAAATTTATTGGATAAAGTAATTAGTTAAAACAATTTATATTATTAAAGTCTTCAATCCACAAATATGATTTTAAATAACTGAAATTATGTGTGAGAACATTAAAAAATAATCTTTGCTAAATTGATTCACAATAACTCAACCAATTTAAAATGATATAAATAAAATTGCAAAAAAATGTAAGTATTTATAAACAAACACATTCATAATTGAATTATGAAAGACTGAATAATCAATTAAAATGTTGACTTCCCACCGTAAAAATTAAATTAATTCATCTAAAATTATGTTGCATTAAAATGAAAGTATAGATTATGTATAGATATAGTTTCCAATTATTATTCAATTTAATTACAATGCATGCTAACATATTTCAGTTTAAATGATTCTAGTAATAAATTAGTTTTTCTAAATATTAAATAATCAGGAAAATAATGTTATAAAACCAAAGACTATATATAAGTTTATATATCATGTTTGTATATTGAAAATCAAGTTCGAATCGAGACGTGTTGTCCCCCAAATACAATCTGTTGCGTATGTAGCATATGAATGACACCAAATCCCGCGAGAATTTTACATCAGAGAATCAATGATGTATCACTACGAAGGATGAATTCGCAACCCTTTTGTAAAGTCACTTTCGGTGGTTTCAATTTGATATGTTTTATTTTAAGAATAGACTAAAAATAGTTCAGATAATATAACCAGGTCAATTATATTTTGAATATTGCATAGCGGTAAAAATTTGCATATGAAATTGAAATTTTATTGGAATTCTGCGTAAGCGTTAATTATTTTTTTAATATTTTTTTTCTAAATGTCATAATTACATTTATTGATTGCTTAGATAAAATTACAAACAATCAGTTATAAATATTTTATATATTCAGAAATTAGTAATTTGTGTAAAACACGGTGCACAATTCACACAAGTAGGAGTCCAAGAAAACACAATCTATATTATATAGTGTGTTTTGCAAGGTAAAAATACTAAGCTTTATTTACGTGATTAAACTATTATATCGGGAAATAATTTAATAGTTTCAAATATCAATTTTAAAATGAAAGCTGTACGTCCTGTAAAGCTTCTTAAACTAATCGAGTATACGTATCATAAGAAAGCATTATTCTATAATAACTTATAATAGGAATAATTAATTAAAAATATTAACAATAAAGTGAATTTCAAAATTTTCAACTGAATATCAAAAACACATGTTACATCACAGAACAATTTTGGCAATTAAAATTGCTAACCTAACAATTGTTTAGAATGCACAATATTGCGGTAATTTGTCTGTAGACCAATGCTATGCAACAGTATAAGAACCGAGAGTTTACTAAAATTTTCTATATATCAGAAGCAGAAAAACATATAAGTATAGATTGAAAAATATATATGGTAATAATTCATATGATTTTCAATAATGTTCATTGAGTAGTAGAAACAACAACGGCGGTAGTAGCCGATCCCTGTTTACAATGTCTTACTCGCGAAGACAAAACCTGGATCGGAGCCCGTAGGATTCCTCACGTGGGTGCGAAGTCCCGAACAAACACATTAGAGTCACGTGACGGACGGAATAAGTTTTATAGTAGGAATACGGCATTTATAGCTAGTCCCACATAAACCAGTTGTTGCAATGATCAAATATTAGAACTGCCGTCGCATCTTTGCAAGATTGAAAAAATATTGGGCTAGGAGTAGCCCAGAGAGCCCCACAGTCGATAGAAAATAATTGTGCAAGAGCATAATAAATCCAAATTGTCTTTTATTGGCGCTGTATTTACTATCATAATTTAATTGGCGCAGACTTTTTTAAGTTCCGTTTTTCGTACATATAGAAACCATTTTTTGCCTTTCCTAATATTTTTTGTTATATTTTACAAATGTTTCTACATCCGGTGCGAATTTTACCAACCGACATAAAAACCGGCAAAACCAGGTAAATAAGACAGAATTATAAATAAAAAAGGATTTGAACGTGCTTTGTAATATCACACATACACACACACACATATATATATATACATATATATATATATATATATATATATATATACATGTGTATATCGACGTTAGTACATTTTTTAAGTAATTTATCAGCCCAATCGTAGTGAGTTTGAACCTCGCTCTGGACAACCTGAATCGTGTAGTAGCGATGTCCATTTTTACTAGATAAAAATATGTTTCCAATTTAAGATAGCTAATGGTAAATCTCTCACACTATTCTCCCCTGATCAGGATCGAGTTGAAGTTTAACTCAGTTTACGAACATGCCTAGCGCACATAAATCTGTATGTATATACATGTTATTTTATTAATTAAAGCTTAAGTATTTTTCTTTCATATAAATGTAGTATAATAAAAACGCTATAAACTGCAGAATTGACATTGGTATTCGAATATATTATTCAATTTATATTTATTCATATTAATTATTTTTTCATTTCATTATTTCAATTTATCATAAGTAGTGTACATAGTAATTTACATGTAAACAAATTACTACGTTAAAAAATTTACATTCAATATAAATACTATCCTGTTTAGTATAGAGTAGGTACGATATAATTTACAAGCATAGTTATTTATAGGCTCTCATCGATTAATTATTACAACGCATAAAACATTTTCTCTTCGTGCGAGATTTGTGGGTTAGCACTAAGCTATTTAATTAAGAATGTCTTGATTTCGCCACCTTCTATCAGCAGTATATTAAACAAATACTATTTGTCCAGAAATAAACCATTGGCATATATATATATATATATATATATATATATATATATATATATCTGCCATCCCAGTGAATAAGTGAATAAGTGATTTAGTCCAATTTGGGCGAAAATGTTTTAAATCGAGCTATTAACTATTTCTCTGAGAACTATTGGTTACTAACAAAAGTAAATGAAGCACTTTATATAAAAGTAATAGAAGAGTAATAAAACTTTGAGAACAAGCTTTGCAAAATAGTGAAAATTGACTTAGCCACTAATTCACTGGGATGATATATATATATATATATATTATTTCAAATTGACACCAGATCAACTCCAGTACTGAAAAAATTGTACAAAATATATAACAAACGTCTCATCAAATTTCAAATACATCTATATATAGATATATATGAAACATACTATCCGCTAATTGAAATACATCGAAAGAGAATCGGTCACATCATTTGCACGGTCGTTCGTATTTATTCAATCGTATCAAATCAAATTTATTGTTCCGTCATTCACAATTCATCGATGACATTGCGTGTCACAACGTGAAATATCATAGAGGTATGTCGATTCGGATATTCGGGTTTTATTGATATATTCATTTTATATTCGGCGAAGAACTTTGATCGCAAGCCATTTGCAAAGGATTTAAGTTTTGGATACGGTTTTTTCAGTGAATGTTTGATAGAGTGGATAGCGTTCTTAAACTTGGCGATTTATCTGTGTTTACTCGCCCTTCGATTCGAAGTGAGCGCGAAATGTGAATATAACGTAAAGGGATTGATTTTGTTCTAAAGTGTATTATTCTGTATTATAAAATAAAATGAACCTGCATTAAAATAATTCATAATTATAAGTATAACAATCATTCTCAGAAATATATCTTTATTTATGAAGATTATTACCAAAAAGAAAATTCGTATTTATAGAAACAGTAAAGATGAGTTTAAATGTTCTTTCAATTTAAAATTTATACTAAAAGTGATCAAGAAATCAGCTTCTATAGAGAGCAGTAAATTTTAATTGAACATTTCAATAATATGCATAATATAATACGTCACTACTTTTCAATAAAAAGACGACGCAAGGGATTTTGATAATGGGATTATTGTGAAAGTTTGTAAATAGTTAATTCCGGTTTGGACAAGACTGTTCCGGATTTCAATCTTCTGTCCCGGATTTTCCTAAGAGCCATATTCGGTCAGGATTTTAATCTTTTGTCTCAGTATTTGAAATTTATAGGTTTAAACTAAATTTTCGCAATTAATTGATAATCATATTACAACAATTTTGCGAATTTTAGCAGAATTTGTATAAAAGAAGTGCTTATCTTTATTACCAATAAGTTGATTATAAAGAAAATTGAATAAAATTTATTACAAGGCTTAAAAGCGAAAAAACGTTTAGATCGAAAAATATATGAGACCTACTAAATTGGGTAATATTAATTTGAAAAAAAAAAAGATTCATTTAAAAAACTATTGTGTTTGTGTTTAAAAACCCTAAATATATTATTTGATATTTTGAATCGTATCAAAGTCACTTACCATATAGCCTTTTAAAAATTTGGTCACCTTAAGTTAATAGATGTAGGCTTTTTCTTTGATAATATATAATAGAATTTTGTTTCCAAAAATGACTATCTAAAGTGTTTTCCTGTGGTTCTATAGGTTTGGTTCCAAAACCGGCGGGCAAAGTGGAAGAAACGTAAGAAGAGCAACAACGTTTTCCGATCGCCAGGTGGCCTACTTCCATCCCACGGTCTGCCGCCTTTTGGGGCAATGGGCGACCACGGCGGACTATGTCCGACAAGTATGTTCGGCACGGCCGATACCCGCTGGGGAGTCAGTTCGATGACACCAGGTAAACAAAATTAGTTGAAAATGCTAGTTATAAAAATTATTACTTTGAAATTAAAATATACGCGTTAAAATTGATTGGGTAAGGGTTAGTTTTGATTTGAAATTATTACGGGGTCTTAGGTGTAAGTCCCAACTACTGTTCGCGTATTGTAGAATCAGTTATAAATTACACAAACGACTAAAAAATGATATCATTTAAATTTGAACTATCACTTCACGAGTTAGCAATTTAGCATGCGATATGAAGGTTTTCAAATTTTTCGTAAAGCGTTTTTTATAATTTATTTTTACGCGTAGTTAAAATGCATAATTAACACTATGTAAAGGTGAAATCACTCACCGAATGGAATCCTTCCGTTGTTATCCTGAAGAACTCACTCACGTATGACACATATTCGCTTTCTGAAAATAAAAATATGATCCATGGTGTTAATTAGTGAGCACATAAATGTTTAAATAATGTCTACAGAGTCATTAAAGTTTTTTATATTGATGCGATATGCAAATTGGAATAAAATAGGCAATACCTTGAATTCATAATACTCTGACAAAGAAAGTAAAATTGGATATAATTAGACAGTAATTATCAAATGCTCTATAAATATTTTATAGATTTCGCGGTTGACACATAATTTGATGTAAATTGTTGACGATCATATAGTTATCATTAATTTTGTTTGATTAAATTTTGCAGGTCTGGGTCAATTGGGCCAAACTGGAATGGGAGGGTTCGGACAACTCAACCAGGGTTCTCCGCTGAACACGGGCTTGCCAATGGCTCCTGCGAGCACAGTGTACCAAGCACATTATGGGCTCAATTCATTAGGTAAGATAATAGAAACTATTTGTCATCTTATTAATTGGAGAAGACACAAACCTCGAAAAAAAGCATGCTTAAAGATCAAGATTGTATAAAATCGACAAAAATCATAATAATTTACTCAATACGAAATCCTTTTCCAAAACTTTTTTATTAATTTAAAAATTTGATATTTACTCTGGGCCGCCGTCGAAGCCACCACGACTCGCAACTTATTTTGTGTGTGCCTGCACAAAGTAAACTTGAATATTTTATGATTTTTAAATCAAACAAATGTTACAAAAAACACATATTTTTAAAGATGTGAGAATCGCGCGCGGCCGTATAACGCCTAAATAAACAAAAACGGTGCAGAACAGGCGGTCAAGAAACTGACTCTTCTGAAATATTTTAACAAACAATTATATTTGAAATTCCCAGTAGCAAAAATAGATTATGAATATCATATTTATGAAAGATATATAATATATAAATATGTATAAAGAACTCGACCTGAAACACCTCAGTTTAGATTTAATAATATAATCAACGGATGCTATATGCATATTATCTCGGAAAATTGGCACGTTGAATAAAATGTCTCACTGTAGTAATGTAAAAGTAATCACTGTCTTTTTAAGTAATCGCTTTTAGCTGAATAAAATTAATTTAAACTTTGCCTGATAAGTTTTTTGAAAATGTTATTGTAGTTGAAGTGGGATATGAATATTAATGCAAATTTGAACAGAAGCATATGACGAGACATCAAATGAAACCGCCGGTATCAGCGGCTTTCGACACAGAGATCTTAAGAACTCTATGCGAACCTGTGAACTACTGATACACTCATGCAATTCTCAGTTTCGTATAGTCTTGTTTCTACTGGGTGCTAATTTGGTACTTTCTCCATGTCTTCGTCAGTTATTTTCTTAGTTGAACAGTACAAATACTAACAAGTATATTATTTTTTTTATAAATAAGCACAACCTACGTATAATTCATAAAATCCTTAATCAAAATCTATTAAATAAATCAATGGATATTTATATATGTTCATTGAAAAGTTACTACTTTAACAAACAAACTAAAAGTTAATGTCATAAAATTTTGTTTAACTTCCTAAAAGTTAATGAACAATTTCATTATGGAACAAAAACAGCCATACCCCGTTAATGCTTTTATCGATTATTACGATTCGTAAGCTACAGGCCATTGTGTGGTGTGTTTATTTTGAACGAGGTGCTAAACGATACAATTCATATTTTTGTTTCGATTTCCAATGACAAAAAGCTTTTAATGCGCGTCATTTAGGCGTCGGAAAATTCCATTTGAAAATACCAGACTAGTAGTTTGACCGAAGTATAAAATTAATTTTGTTTACCATGTTGTTTTAGCATATTGTAAGATAGAAGCTTGATTTTGATGAATAATTTATATTGGGATAATTGTTAATTTTTCTGTTTAACAATGATAACAATTTATTTTTTAAAGGTGATTCAATGATGTCCTACTGCAATACGGGCGGCGGCGGTGGGGCAAACTCAGGCGGGGTGCCCTTAGCTGCAAGTAGCGGTAGCCCGACGCCGCCACAACTATCGCAATGCGGTGGCGGCCAGGGTTCGCCGAGTTCGCCGTCCATTCTGTCGCAGGGACACCAGCAAAATACAGGAGCAGGAGGTGACCAAGAAGAAGATTTATGGCGAGGTCATAGCATCGCGGCTTTGAGGCGCAGAGCGTCGGAATTAAATGCTGCGATACCGTCATACTTGCAGATAAATTATGATACGCATAATAACTCTGTGTATTGATATCGCTTTTAATAGATTATTTTATTAGATTGTTTTTTTTTAAATTTTATATTCACTGTTTCACTGAGAATCAAAGTATTGAAAAAATGTGAACGGGAAAGAAGTCGAAATCACAACAGTAATCCTAACATCTCTCTTTCTTCATAATAATTATATTTAATATATCCATATATCAAAAGACCGAAAACAACAAATATAAAAATGAATAAATGCCCAATGTTGGAACCGTACTATTTATTTTAAAGTGTATTAAATTAGAATAATATTTGTTATACTAACAAATATAACACTATCAGATATTTAAAATCAATAATTCTTTCCATATAAGTAACGCACAGTTGATTGCCGAAAAAATACTACTTACTTACTATTCAAATTCGAAAAATACCAATAGAATGCAAAACCATGAAAACGCAATATATAAATACAGTCATTTGGTTTTAAACGTTGTTATTCATTTAATAATTTATTAAATAATATTAAGTATAGGTACGTTCAAAATAATTGTTAATTTTTTGTAAACGCACTTATTTGGAAATTTAAAAAAACAGAAAATTTTGAATTTTAAACTATTTTTGATTTGAATTATTGTTACTTGAAGTGGCGGTAATAATAATATCGGGAACTGTCCAATAACTTTATGCAGAAATAATATATTGAATGTTGTCAAAAGCAGTTAGATAAAATCACCAAAAACTGACGATAATTTTTCTATTTAATTTTGCAATGTTCAATGGAAATGTATACGTTTCTTAATTATTAAATTAGATAAGCAGGAGTTTCTTCCTTTATTATTTAATGTGTATATAGTTACTTATATAATGGATCAATAATAAATGTATAGCTATATATATATATAATTTTACTTTTGAATGTATGTGCAAATATGGATGTGAAAAAATTTATTATGGGATATTTAATCGGCGGCTGAAGTTAGCGAGAAAATAAAAACTTGGTATACGAAAACTTTGAAAAAGAAATACGATTATATTGTAAAAATATTATATATAAATATATTTAATTAGCGTTATAGTTAAATTAAATTTAAACTGAACGAATATGCGTGACTGTTAATGCTAAAGAAGAAGTACTTAAAGCAATTGCGATGTATCAAAATTTGGTTATAAAACGCAAGAAAAATAAATTCTACTTCTATTAGTGACGTAAGTGAAGCTATAATTAATTAATAAATGTTGCCTAAATATTGTAGAAATTAATTACTTATTGTTATATACGATGTAAAAACAAGTTTCTATTAAGTATTTTATATTTCGTGTATATAAATTAGTAATCATAAATATTATCAAGAGAAACTTCTGGTACTAATATTTTAAGATTTAAGATATAAATTTTAAGCATCTACTTATGTATACCATAAACTAACGTTGTCTTCTTCAAAAACTTATATTTTGTTTACCGTACTTTTGAGGAAGAAAATAAGAAAAAAGCCGAGCAAAATGCAATTATAAATTTTATATATTTAATTGAAAAAATAACAATACTTTCATATTATTTTGGTATTAAATTATATGTCATGAAATTTTAAGTATACAGTAATAGTCATGAATGTAACACTATTATAATCACTCAAAAATTATGTGAGACTTTAGTCATTTTGGTTGAATGATATAATTTATGAGATGTGTATCAATAAATAATGTATAGATAATTTGAACTTTTGTTTTTATTCATTTTCAAATAATATATTTTCAAATGATTATATTATGAATAATCTTAAATATAAAATGTATAATTTTTTTTGTAAAAAAGCTACTAGCAACATTTTGTGAAAGTACAAAAATAAGTAGAAAAGTGCTAAAAGCAGCTTTAAAAATTTGGTACAAACAGTGAAGCAAGCACATTTGTATCATAATTGATTTATGTGTAAACACTAATTAATGACCTTTCGCTTGACGACCATACATAATTCTGCAATTAATTAGTATCCTTTGATGTTCCATCTTTATTTTCGGCTGTCTGAATTTTGCCTCCTTTTCCAGTCCATTCTTCTTTCAATTTTACATCACAACCCAAATCACGAAGGGCTGCTTTGAAATCATATTCACAATCCGGGAACTTAGTGATGTTCTCATTTAAAAACTTTTCTACGCCATATCTTTTGAATGTTTCGCACTGCTCTCTAGCTCTTGAAACCATATTACGTATTGCCCAACTTGCCATTTTCTACAACATTGTAATGGCAGTACAAATACTAACAGTGTTTGTATAATGTTGATAATTATTCACATACACATATTTACGTCTATAATACAAAAGCAGTAGTATGCTACTTTTAGTAAGGCTTTCAGTAACTGATACACACACCAACAGTTAATTTAATAATGATTCACAATAACTATAAACAATATGAATATTTTTAAAACTTTGATAACATCTTTTCAATGCACAATTAAGCTTTCAACGATTAGTTCTATGGCATACACAGAGAAGCAGTTTAAGTTCACTAAATGCAATTAATTAATTCTAAAAGATAGCTTGAGAAAAAAAAAATCACTCTTACAAGCTTATTACCAAGCACTTACATAATTCAAGCAAAAACTGTAATATCAAAAAACTTCAAATAAAAAATAAGTAATATGGAACTAAATATTGTTCCATTAAAACTTGGCACTAATATTATCCACATAAAAAATACGTTTTTGGCGGACTTACATTCAATAATTAAATAAAAAAAGGAAACATACAATATAAAAGAAAAGTTATAATAACTAGTTAGAAAAGGTGATAAGCAACTATTATAAAGTTTTTATATACCATGTAGAATAATGATATAACATAATATGCATGCATAATTTTGTACACAGAACGGATTGAAATTTAATACGAAAGTTAAATATATGTGAAAGTGATCATAAATAAGGTATAAAAATCTTACCTGAACATATAAACTATTTCTGTGCATTTCCATACATGTTGCTATGATCTGAGGTATTGCATTATCATAAAATGCTTTACTATTTGAGGGAGCTCGTAATGTTAAAGCTGAAACACATGCTAATCCTGATACCACTGTCCCTTCATTTTCCTAATGAAATGAGTACATAAATTGATAAATTGATAGTTAATAAACAAATAAATAATTCGTGTATGAAGAATACCTTATGAGCTTCTAAAGAAGAAGCAATAATATTATCACCACCATTTTTAATAATTTGCAATTTTACATCATCATTTCCAGCAAGTGCTTTCAATAGTTTAAAACTTTGTTTTATAACTTTATAATTTTCACCAAATTCAACCATTGAATCCAATATAAATCGTAATCCGCCACAGTCTACAACCATTTGGCAAAATTCATGTCTGACGAGTAAAGCAGAAAGAGTCAACATTAACTCACTAACTATTTGTTCATCCATTCTGAATTCTGCAGAATAAAATAAATAGATAATAATGGAAAATATAATCAGAAGACATTTCTGATTTACAGAAATGGTAAGAAAATGTGAAAATATGTTTTAAGACTCGAAATCACAGTACTATTTATAATAATTTAGATTCAAAATTTTTATAGCAATAATTCACACATAAATTAACTACAATATTGATTGTAGAATAAATAACTTTAGAATTAAATTATTTATCAACGTACTTGCCAATAACGAAGTTATTGAACACAAAGTATCTGATGCAATAACTCTAGCATGTTCATGTGCTTGTCCGAATTCGACTCTGACATCATCATCAAGACATAAAGCTCTCAGAACTGCACATATATCTTTAAGACCCTGATTATATGAGCAATTATTAAATCAATGAGTATAAATATGCGCTCAATGCAAAGTATAACTCACTTGCTTATCGGCTTTTGGCAACATAGATTTTAAGCACTGTAGTATATCTGAATTAAATATTTTTTGTCTGTTCATTTCATGTTTAAGACAGCAGATATAAACCCATTGTAAAATAAGAGACTTCAATGGAGACTCTTTTGGCTCTGTAAGATATCTAAAAAATAATTTTATATATATTATTATATTATTATATATATATATATATATATATATATATATATATACACAATATTGTAAAATACATACTCTATCATATAAGTGACTCCTTGATCATCCAACAGATCAGGTTGCCCATCCATGAGAGAAATTAAAGCTTGTATACAACTTGTTACAATATCGTCATTATGTGAGCATTTACTTAAACATAACAATATGGTATTATATGCATTTTCATTTGCTGCCAGTAGTCGATGGGCTATATCCTATTTAAACAAATATATAGTGAGACTATAGTTTTACTTGAGATCAAAAAATTACCACTAACCTTTTTGCACTCCGTGGACAAAACTTTCAAATTACATAGTATCTCTTTATCTGCAGCATATTTATAATCAGTTAAAAGATCGTTTATAAATCGCAGTGCAGAAGTAATTTGGCTTGTAACTCCTTGATCAGTCATAATTAAATCTTTCACGATATTAGATAAATCAACACCCTGTAAATTTTATTTGAAAAATATAAGTAAATTTTGAATAAATTTTGAAACATTTAATTAGGAATATGACAAACTAAAATAGATAATTTTGATGTGTTTTTATTTATTCATGTATGTGATATTTGAAACATCTATATAAAAGTAAACCTGTGCTTCAAACTGAGCAATAGCATCAGCAATTGCTTCTTGGGGCTCCATGGATAATTCTTCAATATTTTCTTTAACAACATCATCATATGTCTTTTGTGATATTACGCGCACCATTATGATTCTAAACTTAATTATTAAAAACTCTTTCTCATAAAATTATGTACACAGTATTTGTTAAAATTCTTGAAGTGAGTAGCTCTTCAAAATGAAAGACAGAAGAACATGTGTTTTAAAATGCTGTTAAAACTTTGATTCAATAAAAAATGAATAAATTACAATTACATTAGAAACTAGACCAGTGAATATTTCGCAATCTCTTCTAATTAAGAATGAGGATTTCTTAATATTTTACTCAATTTTTATATAGAAAGTGGTCTAAATTTCTTTTATGTGTGTGGGTAGTTTGCTACATATTTGACAGCTATATGTCATTGATGACATTTAAGTAAACTAAACTTATTAAATTCATAGAAACAAAAATATACTTTTTCATATATATTTATTCATAGAATTACGAGTATTAAACACTTTTTGAGATAGTCTTCAATAATTAAAACATGTAACATTAGGCGGTTAAATATGTTTTTGACACTTCTGATTAAATGTCAAACAGCATTCTTATCAGAATGTCTTAAAATTTCCAATAAGAATCAATCGTAGAAACAAATAGTCTAAGAAGTCCTAAGCTTTTAAAAAAATATAACAATTAATGCTATTTAGTATAAAACATCATATAAAATTATTTATGTTTTTAACATGAAAATTATAGTGCCATCCAACTGATATGAACCGAACTTTTGCCACGACCCCAACAAGAATGTAAATAAAAATCTTAAAAATAATCATATAAATCCTTTATCATACAAAGTCCAAAACTCAGTTTTGCAAAATGGGCTTCTTTGAATATTTGGGATTATTTGTTTTCCTTTATTATATTATTTACGCAGTTTTAATAGTGATATTTGATTGTGATTTAAGATTAGCTTTTGCAGAGAGATTTGGTGTGCCAATTGGTAAACTATATACATATTGCATAAAGACTTAAGTAAATGGCTGATAATTTTTTTTTTTTAGATGCTTTGAAAGGTAAAGTTATTTGGATCACAGGAGCATCCAGTGGTATTGGTAAACACCTAGCATATCATTGTGCTAAACATGGTTCAAAAGTAGTACTCTCAGCTCGAAGAGAAAATGAGTTACAAGAAGTTAAGAAAAAATGCATAGGTACATTTATTCAAATGTACTGCACAGTCTCCTTAAATGTTTTCAAATACCTTTAATATATTATAATTTTAGAACAAGGTGCTAAGAAAGAGGATATTCTAGTTCTGCCGATGGATATGCTTGAAATTAGCAGTCATCAAACTAAAATGGATACTGTTCTCAAAGAATTTGGAAAATTAGATATATTAGTTAACAACGCTGGCAGGTCACAAAGAGCAAGTTGGGAAGAAACTGATATTGAAGTTGATCGGCAATTATTTGAACTAAATGTATTTAGTGTTGTTGCTTTGTCTAGAGTTGCAGTTCGATATTTTAAGACTGTTTCGAAAGGACACATAGCAATCACTTCAAGCACGGCTGGACTTATTCCTGTACCATTTAGCGGTTCTTATACGGGTTCAAAGCATGCACTTCATGTATTGTTATCCTTTTAACTAATAATTATTATACATATTTTTGAATTATTGAGTTACTATACATATTTTGCTTTTAGGGTTATTTTGGTAGTCTACAAACTGAAATTCCTGAATTTAATATTGATATAACTTTATTTTGTCCGGGACCAACATTCACAGATTTTCTACAAGAAAGTTTCACTGAAAATCCTGGAGAGGTATTTTAATAATTATTTGCTGTATAATTAAATGTGATTGAAAAATAAAGCAATATTGATTACAGAAATTTGGTAAAAGTGTCCAACGTGATGATAAAAGAATGACCGGGGAAAGATGTGGTGAATTATTTGCCATTGCTTTGGCTAATAAATTGGATACTACATGGGCCAGCATTTTTCCTATATCTCCTTTAACATATTTAACATTATATTTTCCAAATATAAGATATTTGTAAGTATTTCTAAACCATGTCAAAAAAACATTTGCTTTAAACGTTCTGAAAGTCAGCAATTAAGAGATAACACTGACTGCAACTGAGATTGTTATTATTTGCAGGATATTCAAAATGCTGGGAACACGAGGATTGATGAAACTTCGTGATAGTAAAAACAAAACAAAATAGTATAGTTTTTTGAAATAATCATCTAAATATTAGAGTTGCAAAAACTTTGTGATACATTTTGATAATTCAATATATGCTTTAGTACAATCTGAATGTTTCTTACTTATAACAATAGGTTCTCCTGCATCACAACCCTCTGAAACATATTTAGTTAATGGTATTTTTGTCAATATTTCTAAATCAATTTCTTTAGCATATTTTTCTATTGAATTATTAAAGAGTTCTATGGTATTTGAGCAATTATCACATTTAATAAAACTCATATTTTCTACTAAGCCTATCAGAGGAATTTTAAGTGTTTTAAACATCTCAGCACCACGTTGCATGACATTGAGAGCCGCAGCCTGTGGAGTGCTGACCAAAAGTACTCCTATGGAACATAAATTTGCTAAAACTAAATTCTTATTGAAAACATAGTAGTTTCTACTGAAATTATTCTTAAAGTAACCCCACATCACACTGTATAAAAATAATTTTAGTGGTATAAAAAATCATTTAAAATCTTAAAATAATTACCTGATATTGGTATATGCTGTGCAAGTGATAAATGAACATCTCCTGTTCCGGGAGGCGTATCGATAACTAAAACATCACATGGTGACCATAATGTGCCTTTTAATAGTCTTTCAACAGCAGACATTACTAATGGACCCCTCCATATTACTGGACCTTGCTTTGCCAACAAACCCATAGAATTACTGCAAATGCCTTCATACTAAGTAAATTTAAATTAAGTTATACGATTTCATTCCATATTTCTATTTATTTACCATTTAATTCCAAAATTTACTGGAGGAATCATCAAATTATTATCATTAACTAATGGCTCGTCTTTCAAATTCATCATAAGTGGTAAGGATGGTCCAAAAATATCAGCGTCCAGAAGACCGACTTGCAAACCTTGAAGGCTTAATGCCACACTTAAATTGACTAAATTGGTACATAGCAATTATATGAAAGTATGTAATTGTAAAGAAATAAAAGGATAAATAATCTACCAGACACAGTAGATTTTCCTACTCCTCCTTTTCCTGATGCTACTATTATTGCATGCTTAACTCCATCAAGTTGTTTTCTCTTCGGAAGCCCTCTAGCCATAAGCTCTTTTTGTCTCTCTGTCGTATATTTCTAAAAACCACATTAATAAATAGAAAAATAACAAGTTTAGTTATAATAAAAACAACTAAGATAATTAAAACAATTTAAATACCCTGCATATTGAAAGTATAACATTTTTATTATTTAACTGTTGTAAAATCATGGTAATTTAAGTGAATAATGTTATTATTTTAATAGTGAGTACTAATTGCAGAAAACCTGAGCTATTGCTACTACCAAAACAACATCATTATGTAAATATTATTATTATTTAGTAATAATTGGAGATAAACAAACTAGTTTTATTTAGTAGACACAAGCACATGGCCTTTACTGTCAAGAGTGTCAAGTGACTGTCATCTGTCTTAAACTTCATACGTTTTTTGTGAGATGGCGCCACCGATGTTATATTTTAGCGCGAATTTATTTCAGTTTGAATTCAATTGATAATTCAGGTTGCTGGTATTACTTGCTTATAATTAAGACTTTTTGTATTCAAATTTTAATCGAAAAGAAACTTATAAATTAACAAAATAAAAAAAGAATTTTTACGTGGATTATTTGCATCAAAATAATACTAAATACTTTTATTAATATATGTAAAAATTTGGAAATTTTTAACAAAAACAATCTAAAAACTTCATACTAATTTAGGCATAAAATCACATACATTTTTATATTTAATTGTTTTATAAATCCATTATTATTTTATTCAAATGAATTATTTCAAACAAGCAAGTTTTAATGTATGTACAATGAACAACCTATTTAATATATTTAATTTTATCAAATATTTTACTGTAATCAATATTATTTCTACCATTACGGCTTCAAATAACTTTAATGCAAATGTGTCACATAATACTAATTACAAAATTAAACATATGTTAACATTGTGATGGCACTAACGGTATTACTTTTGTTTCCAAGCATCGTCACTAAATGATTACTGTTAGTATACTTTTTGATTCCATTGGAAAATTATAAATATATTTTGACATAAAAAAACTTAAAACTTGTGGTCTAGTTAGTTAAAAATTATGTATTAATATAAACTTTGCCAACACTATTTTTCCAAAATTTTGCCATATTTTTGCCAAAACTTTGAAAATATTCATAGTATTATTTAAATATCCCAAAATGCGTTTTAAAATAAAAATTATTTATATAATTTGTTATGTGATAATTTTGCAAAATGTTGGTTGTTTTCGATATGGAACGTCTAATATAACTGATTTTCAAGTGAGACAGAAACGTTATCTTGTGTATCCGTTTGGAGGAGGACTTTTCAAGGTATGAAGATCATTTTATTTAAGTTATTGAAAAATAAACTTATTTTATTCGTACTGTTTTTTAGTTACAAATAGTGCATTCTAAATAAGTGATGTACTTATTTCCATAATACCTACTTTGGTATACCTACTTTATATTCTTGTGGTATACCTACTCTATATAAGAACTCATAATTTTTAATTTTGTGCAAAATATGATATTAATAATATGCCATAATAATTATGATAATTATTATATTGAAATTGTATATAAAGTATTATTTGTTCGAATATATCAATTATCATAATACTTTCTAACAAAATGAAATGCTTGAAAACGACAACTTCGAAAGTTACAGCCACTTTTTTTAATATTTATATTACTTTGATAAAATTATTTTCCAATCTTTATTATATTTTTAATAAATTAATTTTTGTAATTTTGCTATTCAATGATTCCTTATTACAGCTTATTATGGGTTTTGGTGTTCCAGTAGCTGTTCGCAAGGATTGGAGTCTGGGTTTCGGTTACAATATGCAATTCCAATACGCCCTGCCCCCAAATATTGGGGGTCTATTCAACCTCTACAATCCAGTAACGTACGCGATAGAGTATAGGAAACGTCGTTCAGTAAAAGAACAAAGAGATACATCTAGAGAATATTTCTATCTGTTCATAGAGACACTATTGGAAATGTAAGTTACATTCATTGTCGATCTATTGAATACATTTGTTCGTTCGTGCGAGAGTTCTCTGTAACAAAATGATTATGTAAATTGCAAAAGAATCGAAATATCGAGAAGAAAATGATGGAGATATTTGTTTGTAGTAAATTTCTGATCATTTGTAATGATTTACTTTTAATTATCGAATGCTTGAAACAAAAAACAAAATTTGAAAAACTTTCTACATACATGTAAGAGTTTGTACGTTATTACTCTCGACGGTTTAAAAAAATATGTATATATAAATATAACCCTTTCCATTCGCGAATTTCGAGATTTATATGAATTTAGGCATGCGAGTCGAAAGGGTTAATCACAATGACCAAATTAAATTTAGTATAAAAGTTGAAAAATGAATACAAAATATTCAATTAAAAGCCGCACTCTTAGAGTAGACATACTAAAATTCATGTTAATGGTATAGAATTTCATTCAAGGTTTAAAAGCAAAAAACAATACAAAAAAAAAACAACTATTTATAAAATATAAAAGTTGGCAACTCATTGTCAGTAATTCAGATAGAAAAAAATATTTATTAAAAAAATGTTTCTCATTATATCAATAAATCGTAGGCAAATAAATCGTGGCAACTCATTGTCACCCTAGTAGAAATGTATCGTGGCTAGAGGGGTAAAATATCGTGGCGCAATATTCGAATCTTGTCTTTAAATGGACCAGACAATATTTGTTTTCAAAATTATGGAAAATTTGGAAAATTCATCGGAAAAGTGTTTTATATGGTTTATTACAAATAATAAACATGTTTCCCATCTGATTTACGCCTCTAATGTTATATTTACACGAATTATACATAATTTTTAAATGTGGGCGAAATCCAAGTTTTTTGTGGCCGACCAAGATTCATTTCTTCAGTATTATCGAACTTGGGAAATATATGGTATTTATAAGGGTCACGAAAAAGATTAACTTTAGATAATTAATTAGCACAAAAATCATGATTAAAGTTTTTAAAAAGTCATATGCTCGATCGCAATTGCTAGTTTGATACATTTTTCTTATAAATTCAATATAAATTTTAAATGTGGGGGTTATGCATTTTTTTTCTGGGCAACCACGATTCGTTTCTTCAGTATTATCGAACTTGGGAAATATGTGGTCTTTATAAAGGTCACGAAAAAAATTAATTTTAGATAATTAATTAGCACCAAAGTCATGATTAAAGCTTTTAAAAAGTCATATCCTCGATCGCAATTACAAGTTTGATACATTTTTCTTATAAATTCAATATAAATTTTAAATGTGGGGGTTATGCATTTTTTTCTGGGCAACCACGATTCGTTTCTTCAGTATTATCGAACTTGGGAAATATGTGGTCTTTATAAAGGTCACGAAAAAAATTAATTTTAGATAATTAATTAGCACCAAAGTCATGATTAAAGCTTTTAAAAAGTCATATCCTCGATCGCAATTACAAGTTTGATACATTTTTCTTATAAATTCAATATAAATTTTAAATGTGGGGGTTATGCATTTTTTTTCTGGGCAACCACGATTCGTTTCTTCAGTATTATCGAACTTGGGAAATATGTGGTCTTTATAAAGGTCACGAAAAAAATTAATTTTAGATAATTAATTAGCACCAAAGTCATGATTAAAGCTTTTAAAAAGTCATATCCTCGATCGCAATTACAAGTTTGATACATTTTTCTTATAAATTCAATATAAATTTTAAATGTGGGGGTTATGCATTTTTTTCTGGGCAACCATGATTCATTTCTTCAGTATTATCGAACTTGGGAAATATGTGGTCTTTATAAAGGTTACGAAAAAAATTAACTTTAGATAATTAATTAGCACCAAAATCATGATTAAAGCTTTTAAAAAGTCATATGCTCGATCGCAATTACAAGTTTGATACATTTTTCTTATAAATTCAATATAAATTTTAAATGTGGGGGTTATGCTTTTTTTTCTGGGCAACCACGATTCGTTTCTTCAGTATTATCGAACTTGGAAAATATGTGGTCTTTATAAGGGTTACGAAAAAAATCAACTTTAAATAATTAATTAGCACCAAAATCATGATTAAAGTTTTTAAAAAGTCATATGCTCGATTGCAATTAATAGTTTGATACATATTTGTTATAAATTCAATATGAATTTTAAATGTGGGGGTGATACATTTTTTTTCTGAAATTATATTGAAAACCAATATAAGATTAATATAAATAAACAATATTTACCCCAAATTTAAAATTATTATTTTAACCCATATTTAAAAATATTATTTAATTCATATAGAAAACAGAATTTAACTCTTTGATAATATCTTAGTAATACATAGCTCGATCAGCTCGATCGTAATTAATAGTTTGATATAAATTTTATATGAATTCAATATAAATTGTAAATATTATATTCACATTTATTTTTTCTTTATTATCGAACATTTATATTGGGAAATAAGTAACATTTACATTGGTCAAGAAAATAATCAATTTTAAATCATCAATTAGCGCCAAAAACATCTATGGTGACTCTTAACTCTACATATTTTTGATCAGAATTAATCAATTAATAGCTAAATTAATTACATCCATTATTGAACGTGAAGATATGCAAAAAATTTCATTTTCGATTTTCGTCTCATTACTATAACTACCCTACGGGAAGTTAAAAAAGCAATAAATAATTTAACTATACTGTATTTATTTATTAACTATATTATTTAACGATATTGTAAGTATGGCCATCATTCAATAAACAAAACAAAAACAAAATTATACAAGATTATAATAGTGCAAAAGTATCAGAATATATATATATATATATATATATATATATATATATATATATATATATATTAAATTTAAATAATGTGAGTAACCGAGAAAAAAATGTAAACAAAATGTTTGATGAAAAAAATTCAAAACTTCGAATAAAATAAAAGTTAAATAAAAAAATTTTGTGATTAGTCACATGATTTGCTTAAATTTGTTTTACCCTGGTTTGGTATGTATTAATATTATTTAAATCTGTTATATCTGCTAGTAATATATCGATTTATATTTATAAATTTAGACGTTTTATATTTATTCATAGAATAAAAATTTCTGAAATTGCATCATATATACATGTATGTATGAGCATACCATATATATGTACGAACATCTGTTTTTGAGAAACTACTCAAGAGTGTCTCTTCTTTCTTTCATATAACCGATGTTTGTATAAGACTATCTCACTTCGTGTACGATGCGAGTCCTTTCTTCTATGCGTGTCCTTTGTCCTACGACGAAATATTCTACCTGACTGTGTCAGTAGTGGCCAAAATTATTTTATACGTATTTTATGAACAAATATTATGTCATTGCACTTTTGTTTTAATTACATACGTATTCTTACATCTTCTTGATAGCAATTATTATTTATATTACTATACTAGTTTATTATTTATATTAATGTTATTTAAGAGTAAAAGTTTAATTAAAAAATTAACTTAAATTCAAACAAAGATTTTTTTAAATTTATTATTGTGTACATAGAAAAGAGTGTGATTATAAAAAATGTTTGTTGGTTAGTTCTTGAAGAAGGAAAGAATCCATTAGCCCAAAACGTAGAATAAAATAAGTGAAATATTAATTTTGTTTTGTGAAGATAAAATTTATTTTATATAATTCAGAAAAAAAACCAATAATAAATCTAAATATTTAAAATTTTATAAATATAAACATATTTGATATAATAATAATTAATTGCGTTTTTATTAATTTCGTTTTGAACATTTTCTAACTAACGTTTCACAGATTATGTAATTTACTAACTATCTCATATTGAAATGAATGAAAAAAGAGTTATATATAAACTTTGTTATATATAAAGTTTTTTTTAATGACTACTACACTGAATAAACTAATAACGACAAATTAATGAGCGTATACTTCGTAACATAAAATACAAAAACATAAAAACCGCCCTTTGATTAACAATGCTACACCTACACCATCAAACAAAGCTCAAGCCAAGCAGAGTTTCGTAATTTTCAGTAGACTGAAATTTGTTACGCAGTGCGTTTAGAATTTACTATAATATTAAAAAATATTCATAAAATATAGTAAGTCTTAGTTCGTGAATTTTGAGTGAATATTTAGTGAATAATAAAATGATCTATGATATCAAATATGTAATAATTTGCTAAAAACTTATTTTGTGAACAGTTTATAATTAAAATTAAGCGGTTAATTAACATAATTTTGAGTTTTATATTTAAAGCACGTAAGTATATTTATTACTTATATAAATCAACATACATATTTAGTAAACAATGATGTATTTTATATATTCTAGATTGACTAAATTGAAATGGATGTAAAATCAGCTGTAATATAAAAACTATCACATAGCAAGAATGGATTTGGTAAAAGGTAATAAAAATATTAACAAACTTATTGAATGAAGACTTTTCAATAACTTATTATCGCTTTTGAATATTTGGTATTCGTATTTCCAACAATAGTTTTTTTGTTTTAATTTAAAACTATAATTGTGCTGTTTTAAATTAATGTGAAAATTTTCTATTTACTGTATTTTTAATTATTTCAGATTTGACTGTGATAGAGTTCTAGAAAATATGAGTTTTAGATAAACTACAATTATATTTACTGCAAAATAATGCCTGAAATGTTTTTTTTGCTAAAAGCTAAGTAATTGAATTTATGAGTTTATAAAATGAATATATTTCGAAAATATTGCTATAAAATATTAATAAATTTTATCTTATTTCAGGTGTAATCATGATCGAATTCAAGAAAATGTTAAAACATGTGTGAAAATAAAATGAAACATCGAAATAATAATTAAGTCTGCAAATTGTTTGAATGGCTTGGTCTTTGTACAATTACGGCGATAGGATTAACAAAAATTATGATTGATTTATCATTAAAATCCTCTAAATTATTATAATGACTGAAAATATTTTGATTGTTTTGTATCTTGTTATCATAAAATAATGTGTAAATTGTTAATAAAATTATTAAGATTCAATACAAAAACTATTTAAAAATGTATGTATTCATTTAGAATAAATAAACTTTTATTATCAATGAGTTAAATACTGTTTTTCTATATTAATTTAATAATATTTTTAAATGTGGGTTAAATAATAATTATGAATTTGGGGTAAATATTGTTTATTTATATTGAGCTTATATTGGTTTTTTATATAGGGTAAATATTGTTTATTTATATTAATCTTTTATTGGTTCTCAATATTGAGCTTATATTGGTTTTGAATGGGATTTTAATATTGTTTATCAATATTGGTTTTATTGCCTTTATTGGTTTTAATATTGGATTTATATGGGAAAATGTTAACAGAATAATATTATAGCAATATTGGTAAACAATATAGAGCCCATAAAAAGTACAATATTGCGCCACGATTCATTTCTACTAGGGCAGTAATTCAGATAGAAAAAAAAAATATCAAAAAAATGTTTCTCATTATATCAATAAATCGTATGTGTAATGTACAATTATAATTAAAAATAAAATTAAAAACCTTATCATATTTAAGTACAGGCTTGGTATATTAATAGTGAAAAAATTAAATTCAATATAAAAAAGTTAATTGAAAACTTCAAGGTTCTATCTGCAATTAGAGATTGCTTGAAACGAAAAGTATAATATAAACAATTAAACATCTTATTTCTCTAAACTTATAAAATGGCTGTAAAGTATTACTCTTATGAGTTACATTATATTACATTCAATACAAAAAAGATATTGAAAACTGAAAAGTTGAAGTTTAACATTTTTATACTAATCCTATCCATTTGTCTTTTATATGCCGATATTTTTTGTAAAGACTGATCTTGAATATTACTAACTTCAGATCTGTTAAGTTCGTTTGAAATAAGGTAAACATTTGTCAGTATGTTTTTAATAGCTCTTTTCATACTTATATAAGCTAATTGAAACAATTATATATATGCAAACAATATTATATTATGATAGTATAATGATATTCCCAGAATAGGTGTATACAATTTGTATCTTTATGTAAAAATCAATGAATGTATTTAAGACAAATAAAGCAAATTTTCAAATTAAAAAAAAAAGGTAAACATTTGTTTTTATCATCAATAGATAATAAATAACATTATCACTACAATTTTCTGTGGAAATATGTCCAATGTCCAAAGTCCAATGCAGTTAATAAAAATTTGGATTGATAATTAATTGCTAAAATATTTAATAATTATAATGCACCTATATATAAATAAAAAAATATTTATCATGTGGAAACTATGAAACCAGTAACATTAGTCTCATATTTATTGTTTAATGTATCAATTTAATATTTATTTGAATAGATTAGATATATGTAGGTAATGGAGTCCGGAAGAACGAAACAATTTGCAAAATTTAGTATGTTGATATATACATATTGCTTGTGACAAAAATTACCGAACTTTGAAATAGTATTTTATCTAAAACAATTTGACAATCAAAATATATTATCTTAATCATTTGGAAAAAATATATTATAATTCATTAAATTTCTTGATTAATTTTTGAACTAGGCGCGGCATGCATGGAAAATCGTGTCTCCTGAGGATGATATGCGAAGAAGCCGAAGCACCAGTAGGACACGATGGGATAATGGGAGAGATTTTACATATAATTTTAACGTAAGTGATAATTAATAAGAAAATATAATATATTAATTATGAATGTATAAATTTATTTATGTTAATAGTATTTTATTTACTAATTTTAGACCACAGGAAAATCCAGGTCCAGTTAATAAAAATCTCATAGAATACTCTGAAGCCCGCCACGCAGGACATGCAAGGGCGGACTGTAGAAATTTATACCCAGATTGTCCACCTGATCAAAATATGCTGGATGCAATTTCTAGTGCTTTTCATTATTAGATTAATAAACTACGTTTAATAAAATAATTTGATTGGGAAATATATGAAAAAAAACCCCATAACGAAAAAATTAACTTTGTAGATTTCTATGACAATTTTTTTTTATAATTTTTTGGCCCGTCCAAGCTGTGGTAAATATTGTTTCCTAAAAATTTGGTCTGGCACATTGAAAAAGATGTAAAGCTAGGGAATTTAGAAATTATTTTAATTAATGGCATAAGTTAGTTTAAATGTTTTGTGCAGATAATATTCACTGATGTGTTTTAATATAAATAGGTTTAGTTATCGTATTGCAATACCTCAATTTTGAGTTTATAAATATTATGTAAACATTTGTATTTTTATATAAAATATAAAATCAATTATTGGTGTAGTTGTTATTTATTTTTCCACAAATAGAAGAAAAATGAGCAGTCACACGCAAAACAAATTGATTTTGATATTTTTAATTATTGATCTAAGAGGTAAAAAGAAAACTATTTGCCTATTAAAATATAGATCATATTTCACATATTCAATATAATGCATTTAGCATGTAGATAAATTTTATAGATAGCTCAATTTACCACTAGTAACCAATGAATCAAAAAAAACAAGAAGTAGTTGCTCCATTATAGAGTAGAATAGTCATTATAATATAGATTATTCTATTCCGAACCCTTCTATAGAATTTTACTATTTGCATTTTCGCAAACATAACAATTGAAGTACGTAAAGTACACGCTTTGTTTGTATATTTAAATTGCATCGTTAAAGAGATAACATGTAATATTTATCTTGTTAATGGAAAATGTTAGTTCTGCAAATTAATATTGAGCAGTAAAACTTGCTTCAATCATGTATTTTTCATTTTCGAAATCCATCTCTCTGTATCACATTTTAATTAAAAATCTGTGATTAAGTACAGAGAACGTTTGATTTTTTGATGTGTATATTCAATAAATTTTAATAATAAGTTTGTGTTTGGTAAATAGGGGTTAGGTATATTATTTTAACGTCGAATAACAGGGAATTTAGAGAGCATAATTAAAGATAAACAGCGTTGAACGTATTGCGAGAAAATATGTAGCAAACTGAAAGCTTTGTTATTCGTGTAGGTACTTCTATTCGCATATAGATTGCTAGATGTTCGACGTCGTCGTTTATCGAAGTATAATGAAATAAAATCAAATTAAAATTTATAATATTAACGTAGAACAGATAATCAAACAAGATTTAAGCAAATATCTACATATCACAACGAACAAAGATTTTCATAGTAGAAATGGGGATTTTTTTTATACTCATTGGTTGAGTAATTGAGAGATCATGATTTGAGGAGCATATTATTCATAAAGGATGTTCCACGATATAATGGTTGAGCTCTCGGACTCGTGTGGACCGAGTCGTAAGTTCGAACCCTGGCAACAAGACATCGTGCAGTATCAATGTCCATTTTCACTTAAAAATGTAAATACAAAATATGTTGCCAATTGAAAATAGCCAACTTACACTATTCTTGCCTAAATCGAGCTGGAGTTTATTTTAGCACTCGGACCTGCCAAAGGTGGTACTACCGATTATACTTCAAAGAAAATAAATATAACCGAAGTTAAGTTTGAAACTAATTATTGGAGTCTTCAATAACATTTTTTTAAAGTACATTTTCCATCTTACATTGTGGCGAAAAAAAAAAACTAATTTACAGTGAAATTAATAATATATATCAAATTATTTTTCCCAAGTATATTACAAGACTACTTTCTCAAGTATTACACCATGTTCCTGGACTCATCTTCATGCTTCACATCAGAACGAAATTTTAATCCTTCGTATAGCGAGATCAAGGGTCCCGTTAATCGTTAGCATGGTGATTAATACCATCATTAAGAGAAAGATACTCGGAATCTCTGACGAATGTTATCTTAAAAGATTAATTTTAGACGTACGTCCTTCTGTAATTCTGATGTAAACCGAAATACATCTGACAAATTGCAGAAGGGTCGGTAAACAACATATTTTTTGGGATTTATTTATATTAATCCATAGATTGATGTAATTAGTACTTCGAACAATACTGCAAATGCAAGCCAGTAACGTGATTAAAACACCTTGTTTATAATAGGTTTACAGAAATAATAAACTACTTTATAAGTTCTAAAGTATAATAAAATAATAAAAATTACCAAAAGTACCATACAAAGCAAATCGTATATCGATAATTATGTTTCGATATTTTAATATGTCCATGTGTGCTTGCAATCTAATAATAATTTTCAAAAAATCACTGGTTGTATGTAAATTAATAAAATTTATCTTTGTTTTATAATTTGAATTCTAATATATTGTCACCACTGTAGAATATGCACAAATGTTTAGTCAATTAGCACATATATTCTAATTTCAAAATAAATATTAGACATTATTTAGCTATATACATAGCAACAATTCAATAATATATATCACATTTTGTAAGCAATAATATTTTCTTTCTACTGGTATTTTCCATTTAAGAAAACGTAGTCAATGACATTCAAGGAAATTATAAAACAATATCAAAATTTACAAATAATAGATGTAATAAAATCTTTAAAAATATTCTTTATATTAATATATGAACATTATTATATATATATATATATATATATATATATATATCAAAAAATTGAATTTATCATAAAGTAACTACATGTAGGATATGTTTTGCATAAATTAATATTTATGATTGATAATATTTCTCATGTATAATTTTTATATATACCCTCTTCTGTAAAATATTTGGTGGAAATATTCAATTCAATAACTTTTTTAATTTAAGCGAGTTTGATAAAAATCTATCAATGAGTTTTCATAATTAAATTTCCGGAATACATATATTGAATATAAAAATAAAAGTGAGTTTAAAACTAAATGTTGTGTTAAAGGTAATGAAGTAAAGATAAATGACATATGAATGTGCTTTTACAAAAAAAAAAATCAATATGATAATCAATTCTTTTGTACATACAAATAATTAGAAATGTGTTTTATAATTGTATTTTCTTCTATTCTCAATACTTATTATAAAATGCAAAATATAAAATATTATCCAAGAAATAATTTTACTTTGAAATTAGTTCACTTATATAATTTCCGACCAAATCGTAAATTCGCTAAAACGGAAAAGAACAGGACAGTAACTTTAACTTCTTTAATTACTTTTTTATGGTGATTGAGGTGGAGCGAGTTATTGTTTTATTTTCAAGTTATGATTCGAAATTATATTACATAAAGAAATACGTAAATTGAATAAAATTGTTAAGGGACTCAAAGACAAGTTTGGCATATTTTGGCATCCAAATTAAATTAGGAGAGACTTTTCCGAAATCTGAATAAACCCGATTAAATATGTATGTATAAAATAAATTAAAAAATAATAATCTTGTATAAATATGATATTAAGAAAACTTTTGATTATGATTATGTCAACACTAATTACCATCACTCAAAATTCACAAACTTTTGTTTCTTTTCCTTGAATTTTTTACATTGCTATAAAAATATTAAACAATGCATAATATTATTAAATAGGGTAGAGCGGGACCCTAAGGTCCACGTGTAAAAATGTCCACCACTGATATCTTATAAACAAGTAAAGTGACAAATGAAGTATATGTTTTGCATTGGTTAAATAATATAGCTATTTTTTTCGTAAAATCCCTTTAAAATTAAAAATAAGACAAAACCTTGTTTACCCCCTCTTGGCCCCATTTTACCCGGCTTATAGGGTAAATATATTTGGTGACAAAAACATTTCTACAATGATAGATTAGCTAAAAGTTTTACTGAACACAGTCAGATAGTTGCTTGTTTGTTATTTGTTGTAATATAATTTGTTTGGTTTGCACAATAAAATTGCTTAAAGTCAAATCAGACCTTTTTATTAATTCATTAATTAATTATTAAAATTAATTAAATTTAATTTTTGTTTATAAAATCTTGTGTACTCATTTTTAACAAATCATAAAAACTTTACTATAAAATAGTTCACTTATGGAACATATTAAGTTGTTTTGCTAATTAACTTTGCTGTTACAAGGTTGAGTTTGCGGCTGCTTTAATATCATAGTATACATTAAAGTTTTACATCATGTTTCACAGGTGATTCGTAGAATACAGATCCTTCATAAAACTGATTTAATTTAAAAAGAACTCCTACGCGTTGTATTATTTATGCGTCGTGTTAACTTTCGAGACATGCATTATTCTACGTGTCGACCACTAAAGCTCCAGGCGAGTGATACTAAAAAGCTCGTATTCTACTTTATAGACACTATATATCTGTCAATTCTAAACGCAATGAATATATATATTTTTTACTGTCCTGCCGATGAAAAAGCTTTTCATTTTATTGTTAGTCGTTAGTCGTCAGATATTCAGCACTATTTCCAATAGCAATCATCTATTAGACTTTACGATATTCAAATGTTTTTTCCCATTCCGTAACAAAGTGCTTGTGGTGAAATTGAATCTCAAGCAGTTTTTTATTCTTATGCACGAATCGTTTGGAAAGAATGTCGATTTTGTAAAGGATTGAAAAAAAATGTATATAAATAACTAATTTGAAGAGAAAAGTATGTTATCATTTAAAATAATTTGCTTATTGAATCACTTAATAATTAATTAATTTTTGATTTTACATATGAACTAGTTGGAAGTAGCATTTTGCCTTAAGGCAAGTTGCAAAAATTTCCCGATAGGTGTAATAATTGACTTAATCAATGAAAATTGGGATTTAAGTATTTAGATAAAAATCTTTCGAAAATAAAGTTTTCGCTTTTAAACATTGCGATTTCCAATAGATATATCTCAAGCATTTATAATATATGTGATTATATTAATTATATTGCACAAGCACGTGCTAGTAAACACTAGTAATATAATGTTATGTCCAAAAATAATATAGTGTTATGCCATAAAAATGTAGCCTATTGTTCTAAATTTAAATTAATTTATAAAATTCAACCAATTTTCGTAGGACT